ATGATAAAGTGTGGGTAAAGCAAAAGCAGAAAGCAGTAAAGGACAAGTTCGCACACAAAAAGCTCACAATGCAGAAATGATTATCAGGAAAAACTGGAGAGAATTGAAAGAAGAAAATAGAGAGAAATCAGCTAAATATAAAGCCTTGTAATAGAAAAACTTTATCGAAATAACACACCAACTTACTTTATGGAACGCGGTTGAAGTCTAAAAACAAACACTTCTATTATACCTGCTGCTGCTGCCTAAAGTCTACTTTAGGTAGTAAAATGCAGAGAAACTCAGTGACGGTTTCAGGGAAACGTATCAAGTACCTTGTTTTTATACTGGGGATCGCCGCCATCCTCCAAAAGTAGCAGCATAGTTTGCAAGTTGCCGTATTTGGCAGCTACATGAACGGGAGTGTTCCCGTCATGTGTAGCTATGTTGGGGCCAGCGCCCGATTTCAGCAACATCAGGGCGCACTTTTCCCCGTCCTTAACTCGGGCAGCGATGTGCAGCGCTGTTTCCTTCAGTTTTCCACCTAACTCCCAAAAATCATCACTTTCAACCGTTCCATCTTCGCTAAATATCGCGGTTTATTTCACCTCTCACATGGACATCGGCCCCATATCCCAGCAATGTTTCCACCACCAGCGGCTTGCAGGATTCCACAGCAATGTGTAACGCCGTGTAATTATCCTGCAAATCGCCGAGATTTAGCGCAATGCTACGGAACAGGGTGGATAGTGCTCACGTTGGTTGTAACATCCACTTTTTCGCCCTTCTGCAATAAGGTGTTGATGATCCCAACGTGGCCATAGCGGGCAGCTGTGTGTATACTTCGGGCTCCGTCCTTAAAGAAAATTAAAGACATCTGGATGTTGCAAGGAGGCAGGGTTCGAGCAAACGTTTCGCTTGCTGTTGCAGACACCAGCATCAATGGCGATACCACTTCGGTACTACTAGATTCAGTGTTCCAAAGGACCAGTTAAGATACCAAATTTTGGGGCGGGGATAAAATAAGTTAAACACCATTAAAGAAAACAATCCTAATTCACTGTTGAGGGAAACGAAGTCGCGAACAAAATAATGAAGAAGTTTGGTCGACTAAAGGATAAATTCAGGCAAGTAATTGATTGAAAACTGCTGGCCGAAAAATAGACCCTTCCTGCCTCAAGTGGGTTTGAGCGGCAGTAACATTATTTAAGTAACTCACTCTGAACAACCACGGAGGTTCGATATGCGCCATTTCAACTTCATCAGCTGTAAGCCCCATGATGGCAAATTTTCAACCAAGTTTTTCTTCACTATCCCATATTGGCGCTGTGCATCTGCTAAAGACGGATGGAAAACATTAACTGGCCGCTATTTCCACATTTCCATAAACCGGCCTCATTCCTCAGCTTCGGTATGTATTTACCGCAGCGATTTGTTAAGACACTTGCGAACCACCGTGATAGTAAAAACTAGATTTGCATTTGAAATTGCCGTCATGGCTTTGCTAAAATTAGCCAGTAATTAATATCTGGCGTTAAGAACGGGGGCTTTTTCCATAAGTTATGCCATAATAATGAAGCAATAACGGACCGTTTATGTTGGTGGGACGCCAAGTGGAAGAACGGCGGCTATTTTTATCCGTTTCTGTAAATAAAGAGGTTTTTCCAATGAAACTGGCTACTCACCTTGTTGGGCATGTGGAGGTAAACTCCCTTCTTGAAGAGCATCATGGCGCAATCAGCGTGTCCATTCAACGAAGCGATGTGCATCAAGGTGGATCCGTCTTTGGTTCTTTCGAATATACTCGCCTTAAACTTGTCTGCCAGTAGCTCTGGAATTAACAGGAAATTTGGGTAAATTCGCGGATTTTTAAGTCCTCGTCCATAGAAAGTTGGTGCTGACGTTTCACTAGCACGCCTGGCAGGCATCCTCAAAGCTCAGTTCAGATTCAAGGAAGCAAACTATTTGACTCGAACGAATTAACATAAACCCATGTTCCTATTCTAGAACTTGGCTGGCATCGGTAGTCTCACTCGCACAC